AAATTGTTCCAAGGTCTAGGAGTATTCTTAACAGCAATTTTGAAAGTATGTAAATATTTTGTTATTCGATATTTAAATGTTCTTAATAACCCAAGATGTATTTCTAGGCATGAAACTCAGAATCAGTGGAATAGATTTATGGCTCACTAATAAATATAAAAAATTAAAATGGCATTTTAAATCATTGTTAATACCATATTTTTTACCTATACTTTCCAAATGACCATTAATGATAGTTCAAATAAATACAAATAGTGCTTAATAATAGATGAAATACTTTCATTGCCCAAGTTTGTGGCATATATGGTAACTAAATATAATGAAATATCTAAGAGTTCTTTCAATTCTCTTGGCTACACCCTGACATAACTATTAGGCAAAAATCCAATTAGACCAATCCCATGATTTCCCTGGTTTCAGAGTCGTAGAAGAATACGGCAAGACAAGAATATGTCCCTCAATGTTTGTCTTCTCCCAAGAGAGCTTAAGGAACTCAACTTGTTCTTTTTTGGCCTAAAGATATAATTTTAATTGGTTTATATTAGTACTAGGTATACTCTTAAGGCTCCACAAACGTAAATGGACTATTGATTTAAGATTTGGTTGGATATAAGCTTTGATAAAAAAACAAAATAAAACAAAATTATTCTCACCAATTCTGGCCATTATTCACTTAAATTTACCTTTTCTTTCTCTGCAACTAAGCAACCTCCCCATTATCCAGGCACCTGGAAGAGCTACTGTTGTTAAATTTTTGACAGCTTTTTCAACACAAGTCCTATTTTTTTGAGAGGCAGGTTAACTTAGTGATTTTGATTTGTGCCAAGCTGAGATGTAGAATAGACACTTGAAGTCCATTCTCTTGTTTTCATAAGATTTCATTTGAACTTATTTGTCCTTCTTGAGCTAAACATAGGAAGGAAAAAGAAGAACCCTAAAATTCCTCCAGTTTCTCATTCACGAAATGGAATAACTGAGCAAAAGAATAGTAAATTCTGTATATTTCTTTTGTTTTAATTCAAGATTTAAAAATGTTTAAAATATCCATATCACAAATTTATTGTCTTATTGAGAAAAGTATTAACACCCATTTGTTTTACATATTTGAGAAAATGGTAAGACTTTCTTACTTTATAAAACATGACAAAATATTAACATTTGTATTCATTATAAGTGTGGCATACGTACTCATTGTAAAACAATATCTCTCCCACTCTAAAAAAAAAAAGAACTCTAAAAAAGAACTCACATTTACTGTAGAAAACTTACAAAATACAAATAAGAAATATTTAAAATCAACTTACTAGATAAGATTGTATTGAATTTCATTCTCTTTCTATGCCCAGCCTCATTCTTCCCTGAAGTTTTAGAAGCTTCTGGAAAGCATTTCGTGATGACCAACTCACTTCTTCCACAGAGAGGCATGATACTGTAATCAGTTATACCTGAGTTTCCATGTTTTTCCCAACCTCTGCATATACAGTTCCATGTGGTCTGGCATTTACTCCATTAGGTCACTAAGATCTCTCTCTCCTTGAAGTTTCCAGTGGGCCTCTTCATCATCGTGAAAGTACCATTCTGTCCATCTTTCTGGTTCTTGATATCTGCTGGGATTTGTTTTATGTTTGCCCATCTTCTCCTAACTTGAATACTACGATGCTCCCTTATTTTTGTTCTCTTTTTTACATTTGCAATGAACCCTTGTCTTGTGCCTTTACTTTCACTTGTTCTTTCTTTGATTTGCTACATACTTTTGTACTGTTTTCATTGGTAAACAACAGAATAACCAACTGACAGTGGCGGAAATTACATGATTATTTATGGATTACTTAACAAATCTAGAGGTTGGAGGTCCCAGGGTGGGCTTGATGACTCAACTAGGAAATCAAGAATCTATGTTCTTATGTTCCCTCCTAATGTTCTGTCACTCTTTGTTAGCAAACTCTTGTCTGCTAGCTAGTCACAAGATGCCCAAATACAGTAGCTGGAAGAAGGCAGAAGGCTGAAGCACAAAGACCTTTCTGCTTCTAGAGCTGTCTTTAATAAAGAAAAACATATTTCTCAGAAATCTTCTTTTTACATCTTATTGACCAGAAGGGTCTTATTCCCACCCCTATACCATTTAAAGGAAAGAGAACATGCCATAACTGGTCTAAACCAATGGCGGTTCACCCCTGGTGTTGGCAAAATGGCCCCTCAACACAATCAGTCGCAGGGAAGCAAGGAAGAAGAGCCACTGGTCATGAAGTCCACAGTGACTGGAGCAGCTCTGCTTCCCCCTCAACTATGGCTGCTCCTTAAGACTCGGTCTTTCTCTATGACTCCAAGTCTCTAAGGTTCCATTCATCTTCTGCCCGGAAGAGGTTATTGTGAAAAAACAGCTGGAATGTGAAAGTCCTGTACAAACAAGAGTCTTTATAGCCCTAGTAAATATACCCTATTTTTCCAAGGAGGCTCACAATTTTAAATGAGTTTTTTATAATTTTTGGGCAGCATGCATGTGTATTGAACCAATGTTCAAATCATGCTAATCCTTTTGGTAGAATTTGTCTTCACCTTCTTTCCTTTTACTATCCTCCTATTCTGGTCTCAATCACCTTTACCATTGTGGCCAAGTTCTATGTGCTTCTCCTATTTATCTCTCTCTTGCTTCTATTTGCTTGTCTCCTCTGGTTTGATGTTCTTCCATGTTCTAACTTTTATCCTACTGCACACAATATAAACATTAGTCCTGAGATGCAAGTCCTTTAATAACCTTTCTTTCTATCTAAACGAAATGTCAACTTCTCCTTAGTACAAGCCATCTTCTTTCTAGTCAGGCCGCTTCTGTTAACTTCTATGGCATTCAGTGCTCATTCCAATACCTCATTTAGGCTCTGTAGCTGCCCTTAGCTGGAATGTGCCCTTATGCCTTTGCAAACAGTGCTACATTACGTAACAAGTGGGCTATAAAGGGGTTAAGAGCACCAGTGAAACAAGTTACTTAGAGTTTACAATCCTACCTAAATTGTTTCCCCCTTCAGATGGGAATATACTAATCCATACACTTTGTTATGATTTTTCCCATATCCTAGTCTTGCCACAAATGCTATGGTCATTTTGTAAGTGTAGGAACCATGTGCAATAACCTAGTGCTGTCTATGTGCACTGGACACTCATTAATTACTTAATGATTGATTAACTTTTAAATAATTTACACCACATACATTATATTTTTGCCCGGTCTTCCTCCATCTCAAACGTCCTTCTTGTTGCATTATCTACTACTTACTGCTAGGGTCAGGGGGAATTATGAGCCTCAGCGTGAAAGGATAGGATGAGTTACGTGTGTGCTTACTCGCTTCCTCTGGGCTGCATAACGCTGATCACCTGGCTGTGATGGACACTGAAGACTGGCAGAAGTCGCGTCAAATGTCGTAGAAATGAGCTGGATACAGCAACCCTAATCCTACAATCTTAGCCTTTGTCCACAGAGACACTAGAGTATATTTTGTTATTTTGATTTCAGACTTTGAGGAAAAGAAGTTCAGAAACTTGAGGTCTGCCAGTTAGGACAATTATAAGGAAGGCAGAAATTCTGCTAAAATTTTCAGAGAAAAAAAATATGTAATATGACTTGTTTTCTGAAAGACATGTTTAGCTATGGACTTGTGAAGAAGTACAAGTCCCTCTGTAAATAAGACAACAGAGTTTTTAAAGCATTTCCATAGCTTAAATGAGGTTGGAGCTTAAACTTGAGAGTCTTTTCCATGGATTAAGGGAGGAGAAATTTATTAAAGAGATGAAGCGACGCACTTAATATGTAGTGATGATGATGTGACAATGATGGCTGTAATGGTGAAAAAAAACTTGAATGGCTTACATTCCATGAGTCATTCTGGCCATCAACAGCATCATCAGAAACACATCTTCACGTGTCGCCTCATAGATAAGCTCCGTGAAGCTAGACATTACCCTATAGCGATTTCTGAATAGTATGTGGTCTAATATCTAATATGCATATGACCACATCAGTCAGTAACCTTTTTCTTTTTCTTTTTTTGGTCTTTTTTTGTGTTTATCTACCTTAGGAGTTGCAGGAACTTTGGTTTTAACACAGACTTCCGCACAGCACAATTCAGTGTCACTAACCTAAGAAAGTGGATGGAAGTTAGCCACCCCCCAGTTCTGCCTTTCGTCCCATTTCACAGAACTTGAGTGTATGACAGGAAGAAGGAAGTGAACTGGTTTCCCACTTGAGAATTCAGTTAACCTGGAGCACATGTTAAGTGTAGTCGTGAGATCGCTGGGGAGAGGGAGGAGAGAGATCACTCTCAGTATCTCCCTCCATGCCCCGGCCGACCTCTGCTCTCTCGGTTTCCCTTTGCTTCTGTGTTCTGGCTGGTCTTCTAAACCAACCAGTGCCGTCACACACTAGAAGCCTAAGCACGATGAGTTTTGAGCCAAGATTGTGGAATACTTGAACTTAAAATGGGGGAAAATTTTGAGTTCAGAAACAAAAATTAAAAGCTACTGGTCTCTAACGTGAGCACAAACTGTCTGTCCTTAGAAAATAAAAACAAAGACAAACAAAAATTAGACAGTTAAATAGAGTGGTGATTGTGCTTTGCTATTGAGCAGTTCTCCAGACGTTTATCTCTACACTGGCTTTGTGTTTCAGTAGGTCATGATCGTAGTAAGAGCAACAATTGAAATTGCAAAGTCCTTTACGTCCACAAAAGTATAGTTTAAGAACATATGAGTTAAGGACTTAAAATACTGTGTTTCTAAGTTGATTACTTATGTCATTAAAGAGAGCATTTTGGGATCAGTATGAAGGATGTGACTGGAATGAGAAAAAAGGAACGTTTCCCCCCTTTTTTTCTTCTACCAAGTAGAGCTCAATCCAGTCCAGGTTTTCCCTTGGACTCTGCCTCTGAATTTCGGCTGTGCATTGAGTAGCACGTTTCTCTCTCTCCCCTCCTTTCTCCTTCCCTCTAGCCTCCAGGATTTCTCTCTTCTTATTTCAGGAGGACTCTCACAGGCTCCCTCAGCCTGTGTGAAGCTGAGGTTTCCTCTGGAACCCGTATACCCCCTACACATACCTCCACGCAGACACATCCCCGAGAACCCCGCGCTCGCACCGACAAGCGCGCACACACACTCGCGCTCGCCTGCCCACCTCCCTCCCGGGAGAGCAGGCGCGCGTTCCCACCTTCGCGGCACACTCCGGCGAGCCGAGCTCGCAGCGCTCTAGGATTCTGCGGCTCGGAACTCGGATCGCAGCTCTGAACCCTCATGGTGGTTTTGGAAACATTGCCTCCTCTCTCTCGTTTTTATTGCACCGTTTTTGATCTGGGGGGCTAGAAGAGCAAGGCGGCTGCTTTCCCAGCCAGCCCTGGTTGGCTTGCCATCCTCCATCTGGCTTATAAAAGTTTGCTGAGCGCAGTCCAGAGGGCTGCGCTGCTCGTCCCCTCGGCTGGCGGAAGGGGGTGACGGTGGGCAGCGGCGAGGAGCGCGCCGCTGGCTCTGGCGGGCTTTCGGCTTTAGGGGCAAGGTGAAGAGCGCACGGGCCGTGGGGTTTACCGAGCTGGATTTGCATGTTGCACCATGCCTTCTTGGATCGGGGCTGTGATTCTTCCCCTCTCCGGGCTGCTGCTGTCTCTCCCGGCCGGGGCGGATGTGAAGGCTCGGAGCTGCGGCGAGGTCCGCCAGGCGTACGGTGCCAAGGGATTCAGCCTGGCGGACATCCCCTACCAGGAGATCGCAGGTAAGCGTGGGTCTGCGGCCCGGCAGGCTGCAGCCCTTACCGGCCACACATACCCTGGGCCGCCCGGTGCTCCCCGCCTTACCCCTCTTGTTGAGTTGTTGGTGTTCACTTTCTGCCACGGCTCCCTGGACGCAGCACCGCCGCGCCAGGCGGCGGATGCTCCTTCGGCTGCTCCCGCGGGGGAAGGTGTGCGTCTCAGCAGTCTCATTGTGTGCACACGCGGGAGCGCCCTCCATCCCCTCCCTCCCTTCCTCCGCTCTCGCGCCCTTGCGCCCCCTTGCTTGTTGGCTCCCTTCGGGCGGGCCAGGGAGCCCGGGATGCTCGGGGGTGGCCGAGGCGCAAGGGCAGATCACGGTGCGGGGCGCCCACCCCACGCCTCTCGCTCGGGCAAACTTGGAAAAACTGCGGCCGCAGTTTGCCCAGCGCCACAGTCTGAGTGGCGCCTTCTCCACTCCCGCCCTCACGCCGGCGGGGGCGATGGAGAGACGCGGAGAGCTCCCCTGCCTCTCGCTCCACTCTCCCTGTGGTTCGGAGAGGCAGGGCGCCGGGTGCTCGGGCTAGGGGCGGGCGAGGCTGCCGGGGCGGGGGGGCGGAGGGGGGGCACCGGAGGACTCGGCCTCCGGACTTCCGCAGTTCCCGGCTAGTTTGGGGAGTTCAAGGGCTGCCTGTTTCTGATTTGGGATGTGCTTCCCCGGTTGCTGTTGATCTCTTGAGGTGGGGCGAGGGGAACCCCAGCCACCCGGCGCAGCGCCGGTTCCTGAGCACGGCCTCGCCCGCAGGCTCTGAGAAGCCGAGCCAACTTATGCGGATGGCTCAGAAGTGGATTGGTCTCGGTGTCCCCTGCGTGCCCAACCACTAGCAGTACTCCATCGAGAGCTTGAGAGCCCCCACCCGCTTTCTCAGCGCCAGTTTGTGGGTAGCACTTGGTCTCCAACAACTTGCGCTGCAGCCTGGGTGCGTGTTTTCCAGCTCTTACCTCCAACCCAGTCCGAGCTTCTCTGGGGCTCTGTGAATGAAACGTGTCGGGAGGAGATAATCCTGGGGCTGCGAAAGAACTGAACTGAGAGAGGCAGAGGGAGGCCAGGAGACGCAGCGAGGGCGCGGGCTGCTCAAACTGGAAGCTGAAGTCCTCAGTGACCTCAGATGGCCAAGTCAAAGCGCTGAATTTCTACCAGCCTTTCTGCATTTTGCCAAAGAACTGGCCGATGGACGACAAGCATTTTGCAGATATCTTGAAACCCAGCAGTTTCGATACATAGTGGAATTGCTATTTTATTATGGCTGATCTACCAACTCTACAAGTGAGGGTTTTTCCTTATGCCGAAATAACACATTTATATGCATTTAGGCATTAAAAATAGCCCATACATCACGGTAACAGTATTATATACAGAGAGCCTTTTCCAGTTCTGAGCCAGACACAGACAGCCTCTGGCGAGTCCCAGGCGGAACCTGTGGTGCATTATAAGGCTACTTTGCTCTATCCTTGTCACTTCTTCTCCCTTTTCCAGGGCTCCTTAATTTGCAAATCAGTGAATAGAGACCGGCTGCCCCTTCAGCTCCTTAAGTTTCTCAACTCTCCTTCCCCTTTTGTCTACTGTTATTTCATTCTTTTTAATTAATTGATAAGGATCAGTTTGCTTTCCCCCCCCTCCCCAAATCTCAGGAAATTCAACTTTTAAAAGGTTTGTAGTATGGATGACCTCTTTTAGGAACTTTTTCTTCTCTCATCTGGGCTTTTTCAATATGTATCTTTTAAGCATATAGATTTCCCCAACATGATTTTAGATAAGATATATAAAAGAGAAAAACTGTTAGGTATTTTTCAGTTGCTTCAGTATTCTTTAGTGGGTAATGGGACTTTCTGGAGACTACAGATCATGCTTAGCATGATGCCAGCCTCCTTAATATAAGGCGAAGATTTTCAGGGTAAATAATTTCTTTCTGTAGTCATCATTTACTTTCCTGAGAACATAAGCAAAGGGTAAGATAAATGCTTCAGTAGATTTTTAATACCAGGTTTTGCTTTTCCTCTTGACAATTACAGTGACTGCTAATAGCTGTGGATTTCTAAAATGTGCGCACTTTTGTTAAACTCACTTTCTAGGACTAAGAGTACTATTGACTTGAAATCATGAGGATGTAGGTCACTGTGGAGTCAGAGGCACATCTATCTGATAGGAAAATAAATGAATCCTAAGATAATTGTATATTAAGGATATACATTTCAAAATAAACTTTACTCAGTGTTGCTTATTGCTGTTGAACTTATTTATTAGGAAGTATGTCCCTTTGTTAAATGAACACACTGTTCCTCTCCTCCCTAGTTCCTGATACAATTTACAATAATTATCGACTATATGGTGGTTATCCTTTCCTCAAACTCCTTTTCATCTTGTGCCTTGTTTGGACTTTTAATGGTTTGCTTGAGAAATGGCATATGCCATTTGTCTGCCAGGGAACGTGAATTTAAAGGAACTGCTGTGCAGAGTTTAGATTCCTGAAATCTGTTTCTAATTGAGGGACATTTGCAGGTAGCTTGCCGGGTAAAAAAAACCCGGAAAAGTAATAAGGACATTATGTTTCATCACAACATTAGTAAAGTTTTACTCAGAACTCACAATTGTGAAACAGTGTTGCCCTTTTCTAGTCTAGGATAAAAGGGAGTTCTTCAAACTCAAAAGACTGTGGTGGGTAATATATACAGTTACACTCCCAGAGAGTGCTTGGGAAGGAGGAGGCTGTCAAGGGGCAGTTTGTACCATCAATCTTCACTCAGCCTTGATTTTAAAGCATCCTGGGCAGATACGATAGACTATCTGTCCTTGTTTGAAAGACTTCCAGAGGGGCAGACTCTTGAGCCCCTCTCTGCAATCCATTCTAATACTTAATAATTCTTGTGGTATCAACATGTTTCCAGATATCCAGCCAAAAGCCTTCACAGTGTGCTTGCTTGTTTTCTCTTGTTCTGTCTTCTGGGAAGATGCTGAGCAGTGGATCATCAAGTTCTTTGTGGGGACTGTTATTCTGATCAAAGGTCAGTGTGAATCTTCCCGGTCTTCCTCTGAGCGTCAGTAATGTTATCTCATTTCCAACCAGACTCATCTTGATGGCTCTGAACTTCTAATGGAACTCCGTAGCCGAAAAGAGCGTCTGCTGAAAAGTCTGGGCAGCTCAGGAAATGTTATTTGAGGCTTACTGTACCATTCTTTTCTGCTTCGAGCCTTCTTGGAGTCCTTTATTGCAGTACTTTGTAGCTGACTAATGGTGACTTATAATTATCAAATGCAACTTTATTTAACAGTCTCTTATATAGAAATGACACTGTAACCCAGTACTTAATTGAAAACATTACCTGCTTTTAAAACATTGCCTTATGGATTCCTACTAATAACTTAGTAGATACTATCATTATCCTCATTTTACAGATGAAAAGATTGAGCAACAGGTAACTTAAACAATTAACTTGTCCAAGGATGACTCCGTGAGAAAGCGAGGAGGCTAGAATTCAAAGCCTGGCACCGGGGTCCATAGACGTAAGCTCGGCTGCTGCCATTCTGCGTTGGTTGAATGACAGCATTAGAAAAACAGTTTTTTTCTTCATCAAATGTTGTATATAGCTTGGGATTAGCAGTCACCATATGTATTCCCTCACGGTTTGTGTTGAATATCTATCGACTTGCAAAACCTAGCAGGGATGTCCGACCTGTAGCCTGCTGGGCATCGTGCAGCCCAGGACGGCTGTGGCTGCGGCCCAACGCAATGCCATAAATGTGCTTAAAGCATTGTGAGGGTTTTTTGTGATTATGGGTCACAATGGATTGAATGTGTGGCCCAAGACAACTCTTCTTCTTCCAGGGGGGCCCAGAGATGCCAAAAGTTTGGATACCCCTACCAGTTTTCAAAAATCACTTTGACCTTGGATTTTATGTTCTCAAGAATTGGCCTTACTGCCGCCACTAAACTGTTCATGTCGTTATGCATTTCCCCTGTTATTTTAGTTCTATAGATGCGCTAACATAAAAGGTGGAAACTAAAGAACTTGCATTGGTTTTTTTCAATATACCCGGCCTCCTGGAACGTTGGGCTAGTCCAACAAAGCCTACTGTAGGAAGCCATCCCACAGGCAGAGGGAGGAGGAAAGTTTCTGTCCACAGATCCGGGAAAAAAAAAACAAACGTAACTAGTTGTTCTCGGTGTTCACTTTGCCCGTTTTCCTGTCTAAGGTATTTAGAGAATTGGACTACAGCTGGATGTTTGGAAAGTACCAAACAGAAACAAACAGACTCATAGATACAGAGAAGACACAGACCGACGCTTGGGAGAGAGGAGGGGGTTGGGGAACTGGGTGGAAAAGGTGAGGTGGGTGAGTCATACAGGTTGATAGTTACAAAGCAATCATGGGGATATAAAGTACAGCACAGGGAATGTAGACGATAGTATTGTAATAAGTACGCGTGGTGCCCGGTGGGTACTGGAAACATCAGGGAGATCACTTTGTGAAGTATATGACTGTCTACCCACTATGTTGTACACCTGAAACTAAAACACAATATTCCTGACTGTTGTGGCTCATTTGGTTGACTGTCCTCCCATAAACTGAAAGGTCCCTCAGTTTACTTCCTGGTCAGGCACATGCCTGGGTTGTGTCTTGGTCCCAGGTTGGGGTGCGCGCGCAAGATGTTTCTCTCTCACATCGATGCTCCTTTCCCTCTCTTTCTCCTTCCCTTCCCCTCTCTCTAAAAACAGATAAATAAAATCTTAAAAAAAAACTGAAACAAAAGAATGTTAAATGTAAACTGTAATTGGAAAAACATTAAAAAATATAAACCAAAGTATTACACACTTACCCACCTTTTTGATAGCAACTTACCTCAAAAACCTAAAAATCTATCCCAGAGTTTAAAACGGAAAAAGTACAGACCATTCTCTTCCACTGTGCTGGTACACTAGGCACTTCCTTGCTCCTTCTTTACTGGGGTCGCGTTGGAGGCTGCGGA